AAAGCCTACAGACCCTTTATAACATTCCTCGCTCATGATAAATCAGATAAAACTGCAAATATGCTTCTCTCCAAATACTGAGTTCTTTTGTAAACCAAAGGAACAGATATATGGTTGTTTAAATTGTTTCCACTATTCTGAGGAAACCTCGTCATCTTGTTCATTTCTATAAATTAATGAGGCAAAGCTTCTTATAGTCTTGCACTTAGTTTTGATTGAATGGATTTGCTGCATCTATGTACTGATCAGAGTGCGTGCAAGGTTGGATGGTTTCGGAATGAAGATGCTGATGATCTGCTTAAACTTATCCAGGAGGTAAGTGAAATCTTTCTGTCGATCCTGCTGATTCTTTGGTTTGCAATGACTCTGTGTCTTGTGACTTTTGGATCCAGCTCAGGTTAGCAGATACTTCTCTAGTGCTGAAGATGTTGACGTTGAACCCAGCTACGTCCACCCTTACGTTTCAAGAGTATTACCAAGGTCCGTACTAATGTGTAAACTATGACATTACTAAATACTAACTGCACCTCTATTACCAACAGTTCACTTAATACACCACACGATTTATGTGAGATGTTGTTCTTTTTTATTTTCTGTACCTATTTTATGAAACAGCCAATCATCTAATCTAGCAGGCTTTGCATTTCCTGAGCAATATTAGATAGTTAAAACTCATGTACGTGCAGTAGCTTTGTCTAGTGTGAATTTTTAGTCAAAACTTCAGAAAGTTTTATGTTTCGACAGCCATGGGTTATCCATAACTTGATTGGACACTGTCACAAAACAGTCATTGTGCCTTAAATGTTGGAAACCTGACATGTATTTGACAAAGTGCTGGTGTAATCCTCCTGGAGTGTGGTGAAGAAATCCTTCTGGAGTGAACCTCTTTATAATTTCTGCAGTGTTCTTCATGATCATATATGGTCATATTCATTGGTGTAATCCTCCTGGAGTGTGGTGAAGAAATCCTTCTGGAGTGAACCTCTTTATAATTTCTGCAGTGTTCTTCATGATCATATATGGTCATATTCTTTCTGCCTTTTTGTCAATACATGGAGCTCACACTTCTATTTTACTCACTAATCACTATCATCATCCCATCTCCGCAATCACTTTTCACGTTAGAATAATGTCAAAGCTTTCAAATGCAGATTCTGCCCAAAGCTGAAGATGGACAGGATAATAGCCGCTTTTCAAATCAAGGCAGGTTACTTTATCTACTGCAGTTGCTGCAAGCTGAAAATTTGGTGGTCTTATCGGTTATTTGTGTGTAGCCTGGATTTGGAGCCTTTCATGCTGGTTTTAATATTATAAGGGGAATGTTCTCTCCAGGGATGGAAGATATAGTAAGTGCCTTTTTTATATTCCTTTGAGGTGTAAAAGCGAGATGGATCATTCAAAGCAACATGTTTTTTTCCCACATATGTTGCATATTGCTTATACTCTAGTTGAAGAAGAATTTAGTGTTTTATTATTAATATCTTTTCTTTTCTGAAACCGTTGTAGTTCTCTCGTATAAATGTTTGCAGTCTACATTTCAGTAGGGACCTGGTTCTTGTGTCCAATTGAACCTTTACATTGTTTCACATTTTTTGGCTTCACTATTGGGGAATTCCAGATAATTTATATCTAGAGTTCTAATTGAATAGTGCAAGTCATCCAGTAGCAACTACGAGTACTCAGGAGAAAGAAGTTGGGTCTTTATTTTTGTACATTTACTGCTCTAAATATACTTACATCATACTGTTTGAGCTATTACGCAATGCTACTATTCTTTCCAGGTTCCAATTTCATCGTCTAAAATTTTCATGCAGTTGTTACTTGTAACAAATGTTGATAACATGGAGACCTCTTCCTGCATGATTGCTCTACCAGAAACAAGGTATAACCTACTTTATTTTATTCTATTTGTCAGGTTAAACTCATCCTCGATTCTTACTTTGATGCCCGGGCCTAATTCTCAGCTCTTTTTTGGCTGCAGTTTTCTTTTAAATGGAAACCAACTGGAGGGGACGACTAACGTGTCCATAGTCCGTTTCTCCCAACAACTAATTTCTCTCTCTGAAATGACTTTCTTGTTATCAATTTTTGGTGTTGATCAATTGGTATAGCCGCACAATTCATTAAATCTCCATCGCCCTGAAATTTACAGGACTGTATGCTGCAGTTTCCCACCGTCATCACTAAAATGCTCAAATATGGTGTCAATCTTCTACAAGTCATAGGACAATTTGATGGTATGCCAGAATTTATTGAAAAATGATGTCATTTTCATAAAAATATCTGCTTATCTATGTGCTGTATTTTGGAGAAAAAACTTTTACAGGACATTATATTGTTGTAATCGGCACAATGAGCTCACTACCATCTCAAGAGTCAAAAGATTGTAGTAGAGCTCCTTGTTTAGCTCATTCAGGTAAACTAAAATAAAAATAGATGGTATGTACTTTTATTTTTGTAGCATGCAATATGCATATTTGTTTCAAGTCCATTTATGTGAGAACATATCTGAAGAGGATACCATTTTCTATAACATGAATAATTATTGCTTCTACCTAATCGCAGATCTGGAAATTGTTGAGACCTCATCAAGAGTCTCGCTTAATTGGCCCATCAGGTAAATTATCAATCTATCATATGGTACACTAACTTTTTTTTATGCAATGTCCTCACTGCATAAAATCAGGATGGTGAAAACCGGTTGTTTATTCCTAACTAATGATGAATGACATGTGATTCGACATACAGTTATCACTTAATCATAATTAATTAAGATATATTTTCACTTCATTAAATCAGTTAAGTTAACCATGGTAAGTTGAATTAGTTAGGTTTAAATGCCGGTGCAGTTAAGTATTTACCAACCAGGATGATCTAAATGTTGACATGTTTTATACTTCTCGCAGCAATTCTTGCCAGGTCTCGAATCAGGCAGGTGACAAGTTTGTTGATATAATCACAGCAGCAAATGGATTCCGGAAACCAATATTACAGGACGATAGTAACCCAAGTCAAATATATAGCAAGAGCCAATCCATTAAGCAGCTAACGCATGAAAATAAATACAGCGTAGACCCTCCAACTCTGGATAAAATTCAAATGCAAAACAAACCTAGAATTGTTGTGCATGCTTCTATTCAAGTTACATCAGTGAAAACAAATGCCCCGGCAAGCTATAGTCAACAACCTCAAAGAGCCTTCCTGGTGCCATCTCATCTAGCAACATGTAGAGAAAGGTAAAAAAATGTGCTCAGTCATGGTTATCCAGATTGAGTAAAAGATAAATTTGAAACAAAGAACCTTAGTGGCACCAAGAACTGATAACTGGACTCCCTCTGGTAAAATGAGGGAGGGGCAGCCTAAGTACTCCATCTTAGCAATTTAATGTTTTGTGATCGATAGTATCCTTTTAATTTTGCACTGTATAATCTCCTCCGGTTGTTTTAGTATGAAATTATTCAGCGCAATCTTTTTAAACGCTTTTTATTACTTCAAAAAATTGTAAAATATATACTATAGCATAATAATTTTGAATCTCTAGTTCAACACATAAAATAACTTTTAGTTATGAGCTGGTTAACTTGACTAAAAGTGACTCCACTTTAACAGGTTAAGTGGTTATATATGTTGCCTAAATAATTAATCAATTGAATTAATCCTTAGTCAAATGGGTGGTATGGTGGGGGAGAGATAAAGAACAGATCAGGCCGAGGAAAAGAGGGATGTGGTTGGCAAGGAGATCATGAGATGTTTGAGAGCATTCAAGCTGACAATGGTTGAAGAAGATTCAATACTTGACAGTCTCATCCATGACACTATCCTCTCTGTAGTCACAGACGACAATAATAAGGTGCATAGGAACCCTTCTGATATATTAGAAGTGAAGCCTTCCCTAAGAGGACTCCACTTCTTAAATGTGTAGATAAACATACTTGTCTTTTTCCATATGGTGTGTATATCGAGGTTGGGAGATTGGGAGGTGAAGGGAAGGATAAGAACAAAGAAGGCTGAACTACTTTCTTGCATAAAACATAGATATAGAGAGAAGGACGAGTATTAGAATGGGGAACTCCTTGAGTAAGAGACATTTCAGACAAGCCTCTCGCGAACTTCTAAAAGCTATAAACTACTAAAAGGACATTCAGCAAGGATGTGTTCATTGTAACTACTTACTTTCGAATATTTTTTTGAGAATTGGTAAACATTGTATTCTTCAGCATTAAGGATATGCTGCGGACCTTTAAAAAATTAGAAAAGAACAAAAAGCATAATACTTACAAGGATCCTAAGAGTTCTAAAAGTTGATCTGAAACCTCTGATCCTATCTCTTTACACCAAAAATACATAGATACAATGCAATTCCATTTAACCTTGTGAATGGAATTGGATATTTCTTCAAAATTACTAGTATTCCTCTCCTCCCACACTGTCCACCAAATGCAATACTTTCGAATATTTTTTGAGCAGGTAGGTGTGTGGGATTGAGGCTTGAAGATATCTAAGACACAGTACCCATGCACAGAATAAAATATTTTGTTGGTTTTTTAATAAAGAAAAAGAAAATTACAGAGAAAGACTTTGAGAAAAAAAATATTGCAGTATTATCAAAGAGAATTATTTTATTAATAATCTAGAGACTTGCATTTATAGATATAATTCCTAACTAAAAATAGAAAAATAAGATATTAACTTATCAGTTTAATTCAAATAACAAATAAAAAGAACTAACTCCTAAATATAAGTCAAATAGGACTCTAATAACATAATTTAAAAATCCTAAAAATAGCTAACTGTTTTATTTCTGCAATATCCTGAGACATATTCTCAACACTCCTTGGATAAGGAATTGTAGATTGTAGTCTCATCTGAAATTGACCTTGTGAACAAATCTGTTAATTCATCCTTTTGCAAGGCTTATGTACATCTTCTGTTGGATTAAATAAGAAGCTCTTACCTCTCATTTCAACTTGTAAAATCTCTTGCTTAGTAGAATCAAAGATTCAACAATATTTGTCTCCAAATAATAATTTAAATCCTTTTTCTATTAACTGACCAACACTAAACAAACTTTTATCAATATCAGGCACACAAAGAACATCTGAAATTATTTTTGTACCTAAATTTGTTTTAATTGAAACAGACCATTTTCCTTTTGCAGGATTACAATCACCATTTCCAATTCTGACTTTCTTATTTTCCATAGGAATGAACTCTTTAAAAGGATTTCTTTCATATGTCATGTGGTTTGTACAATCACTATCAATCATCCAAAAGTCAAATTTTTTGGTTGAAAAACAAGTTGCCACAAATAAGTGGTCTTCTTCTTCTTCAGTAGTGACTTGGGCAATTGTTTCATCTTTTTGAAATTTGTTTTTGCAAATCACAGCTTTTTGAGCAAGTTGTTTCAGTTCTTGCACTGTGCATTTGGTCTTTTCCAACATTTATATGAAGGATGTCCATTTTTTCCACCGTGCTGACAAGTTGGGTAATTTTTTCAAGAATTTACCCTTGCTTTGAGTTTTGTGGCTGGCTACTAATGCTCCTTCAACCATGTCATCTTGACTCATAAGTCTCCTTTGTTCCTGAGCCTGCAAAGAATTTAACAATTCTGCCAAGGTAATTTTGGACAGATCTTGTGTGTTTTCCAAGGTAACTACATGCTTCATATCTTTCGGGCACTGTAACAAGAACTTTTTCAACAATTCTTGTATCTTTAAATTCAGTGTCTAGTAATCTTACCTTGTTGACAATACCAAGCAATCTGTCAGAATATTCCTTAACTGTTTCTGACTCTTTCATTCTCTGCAATTCGAATTCCCTCATTAAATTTAATACCTTCATTCCTCGTATTCTTTCATCCCCAACATATTCTTTCTTCAGATAATTCCAAATATGTTTTGGTGATGTGAGAGTCATAATTTTCGTGAAAACAGTTATCGAAATAGCAGCAAACAAAGTTGTTTTTGCCTTCGACTTAATGATTTTCTTTTCCTTGTGACTCTTGATCTGGGCCACGGTGGAATTATTTGGCAGCGGATTAATTTCATAATTCTCTTCCACGGCTTTCCAAAGATCAAGAGCCTCCAAGTAGGTCTCCATTCTTACAGCCCATAGTTGATAATTCTCACCATCAAAAATAGGAGGAGCCATTCGTGAAAAACTATTTTCGGAATCCATTTTTCTACTCACAGGTCCCTCAAGAAGAAGGCTCTAGATACCAATTGTTGGTTTTTTAATAAAGAAATTAAGAAAATTACAGAGAAAGACTTTGAGAGAAAAAATACTGCAGTATTATCAAAATAATCTAGAGACTTGCATTTATAGATATAATTCCTAACTAAAAATAGAAATATAAGATATTAACTTATCAGTTTAATTCAAATAACAAATAAAAAGAACTAACTCCTAAATATAAGTCAAATAGGACTCTAATAACACAACATATTTATTGAAAGGTCGGAAGGAAATAAAAACGAGAATTTACCAATAAATTCACGAGCATTATCTAAGCCTTTGACGTTCAAGAGAAAGCGTGGATGGTTGTGGAAAATAGAGTTAAAACAATGGCTTCTTTCCATTTAACATAGCAAGCAAATGATCAAAAACTCGACTTCCAGCATCTCTCAAGCCAGAGTGCATGTACTCATTAGTAATCCAAGGCCTGATTCCTGCTATCTGAGAAGCGGTCTCCATAGATAGCTTTAAGTTAACATACATGTCTTCATAGTAAACAGCAGCTGCAACTGGTACCTATCAACACAAAAAGAACCCAGGTGGCTACATAAAGTCTAAATCATTGATCAGCTTATAGTGCAACTCCACTACTTCAGTTTTGCTTAAAGTTGAGGCAATTTATGTATTATAAGAAGTAGCCAGACATCAAGGTAGATTATAATCCTTAGCAAATTGATTGACACGAGTATGGGGAACAACATTAATCTCAGGTATCTAAGCTTGTCAACTTTAACGGAAATATGACATACTTTATTTTCCTTTAATGCAGCAATGTCATATAACGATGGCCAATCCTTCTTCTCTGCTAATAGCTGGGCAGCATCTTTGAAAGGCCTCAAGGCATGGACTTCATCAAATATCCATGGGAATATCATCTGCATGTTAAATAAACAACTGATCAACACTTGCTCGGAATACAAGACAAGTCCAAATTTTCTGTTTTTCACCCAAAAAGATAACAAAGGGGTTTCTTAGTTCCAGCTGAAAGAAATAAATGCTTTCTGCAAAGTTTAACTTCAGATCGATGTCTGGTCGGAATAAATGTAAAACAAATCCATTTACTTTCATTGATTGGCATCAAGAAGATGCAATGGTTACAAAAATAGATAAGCTAGCTCCTATACAAGATGCTATGATCGGGGAGCTAGCCAAACAGCAAAAAGAGAAGCTGAATGTGTGATTTATCAAAATGTCCATAATAATACAGTGTAGGTTATATTAAATTTTGTATTAACAAAAAAAACCTCAACTCTGATCAATAAGCACCTTATGTAGGAGAGAGAAGCTCTTCAAACCCACTACATTATGCATGTATTCCCTGACTCCTGTGTTATGATTTTGTCCCTGATAATTGATTGTTCATATGTCGTTCCAAATCAATCATATTGCCCAATTGACCCTTTCCTCCAATCACCAACCAAATATCCATATGACTTCAGGAGAGGAGCTTTAACAGCCAACCATTTTGAATTCTAACATATGTTCCTTTGCATTTCTTTGAAGAAGAAGAAATTTGTACTATTAAAAGAATCAATTTGCAGTGGAAGCAAAATCAAGAACAGGGTAACAGAAGCTACGTACATTTGCAGGAAGTGACAAAATTATGTCGGAACTTAAACTAAGGGAAATAGGTAGGATGTGTAAGGATGAGCATATACATGATTGTTGCTCATAAATGAACGGGCATTAATATGATTTCAGATTCTCTATGGTCTACGCCACACCTCTGCTCAACTATATGAGAGTGTGGCTGACATTGTAAAAGAACAAAGCAGTCACACTTTTCTGGACCCCTTTTTCTACAAGCTGGAATTCAACTCCCAGCAGGACACATTACACTTAAATGTAATAAAGATATTTATAGGAGAACAAAATGAAGTTAATTTACAGCTCTTGTCATATATCTATAATAACTTCCAATAATTATGAATATATAGTGATTTTTTTTGCGCAAGACATACATATTACGTTAACAATAATGAGGAGAGGTGGTTTTGGTTAGTTAAATATAAGCTGTAGTTTAGGCCCTCTCAAGGACAGAACCCTTTAATGTGGAAGATGTATCAGCGAAATTAAGGTGGAAGTAAAAAAAAAATTCTGTTTGACGCTTGCTTCATATTGTGGCAGTTCTTAACCAAAAACGACCACATTGTGTCTCACCTCTCCAGTAAAAAGTACAGGGCGGCCAACTTTTGCTGCCTCAATTGCATCAAATTTGTTGTCATTTAGAGCCCTAATTCTCTGAGCAGACCACAGGGATGAGGCACCCTTCATATCAGAAAAAAGCAAATGAATTAGACAGTTCATGTATGCCTGCAGAATTGAGGTATCCAAAACTATAAAAGTAGACGCAGAAATTCCTATTCACCAAGTACCCCCACTGTTGTAGCAATACTCCTATTGAAAAGTTTACCTGGCAATATATGCTTTCATGCAAAAGAGCATATAAAGGGTTTGCATCAAATCCGATCCATCTCTCATACTGCAATGCCACATAGAACTCAATTTAGCAGATATCCATCATCCAGCTACTGTACTTCTAAATGCATCTAGAATCACCAAGAAAATGCTGCTAGCACATTCGCACAAAATGGGCAAAAGTTTCAGATCCTTAGCATCTCCTAAAAGGAAAAGAATCTCAATCTACAGTAACAAATATGAAACCTTTGTTTACTTGTTTTAGCTCGAAGACACAGCACTTCTATAGTGCATCAGCCATGTGAAAACTGTAATAAAGATAATCCAAGTGGGCTACGGCGTGACCTCTAAGTCATCATGAGCGCTAAAGGCTTAAATATGTCAGTATCCAAGATTCACATCTGAAAGAACTTTATTTTTGTCCAGCATCTAAAATTAACTTTTTACCATGCAACAGAATTTCAAGTTTTCTAGAGAAATAAAGCTAGTAATAGCTTAACATGCCATTTAGGTTACGGTTCATCGTAGATCACAACACATGAAAGATTTAGGCATTCTTCCTTAATCCTTATCAGGATGTTCACTCATTTGTTCCTTTCTTTTCCCTGCCACTATTTTTTATTTCTTCATTTGAAACATTGATGCCAAAGCTGGTTTAATTAGTCATGGACAATCGTATTCAAGAATCAACATAAAGTTAGTCATTAGAGGAACCATGTACACAAATAAAGAATGTAGGCCACCAAAAAATATTATACTGATGGTTATGAACACAAAGCATTTGAACTCAATGGTACAAAACATATGGATGATATCTATGCCAACGTAGTTAGTTCATGAACCATATTTACTAATTGCTCAACAAGATACTCTATTTTTTGCAATATTAATCAAAATAAAGTCACTGTGTTTTTTTGTAATAGGCATGTGTATTTCTTACAGCATTCAAGAAGTAGTCACTGATTCTCCTTTTTGCTCCTTGAACTATTAAAGGATCCCAGACTCTCTCAAACCTACAAGCGTTGCATGGAAAGGTAAAATTTCACTAATATGAATTTTTTTTTATTTTGGGGGGGGGGGGGGGGGGGGGGGAGAGCAGATGGCAAAATGATGGCTTACAGGTAATGCAGTCGTTCGAAACCAGTACTTGACCCTAGACCTGAGAGACCAAGAAGTTGTAGTCCTCGAGGTGTTAAAATGCCACCAGATGGAAGAGGCACCTATGTCAGACATGGAGAAAAGGAGGGAGATAGGACAGAGAGAGAGACATTAACAAAACATGGAGAAGTATGTATCAGATGGACTCATGAGTATACCAGTATAGCTCCCTTACCCGGCCTCCTGACTCTGCCAAATAATTTACAACATCACGAACAATTTCAATATCCTGTGGAAACCTCTTGTAATATTTTTCGTTCTGACAAACAAGCTGCTCAAATCCTGCCTCATAAACAGAATCAGCTGTGCATCCTTCACCAATTGGAGGGAGCCCACCAGTTATAAGAGCTTGTTTGAGTCCTTTAGGAGCAAAACTCAAGTAGGTAACTGCACAAAAGCCTCCAAAACTCTGCACGATAATCAATCCGATATTCCAATCACACCACCAACAATAAGCATAACTAGCATCACTATTAAAACTTCCACACATTATATGAGATGATAACGTTCCTCAAAAGAGATTTTAAAATAATTTTCTAGAAATATATAATCAAGACCATTGAAAAAATTGTTCCTGCAGTAAGACTTCTTCAACTACTTGTTGAGAGTATAGCACGATATGGTTCAGGTATAAAAACCAAATACAGGAAAGAGCAAAAACTATGTGACCTGTCCAAGTATTGTCCAAGGTCCAGCATCAGGGACAAGGCGTTTTCGGATGAACTCAGCATCATGTACTATATTATCAGCTCGGAAATGTCTCAAGTAGTTAGCCAAATCCTCAGCAGACTTCACTTGTGACATAGATGATGGTGTTAATGGTGTTGATAGACCTGTTCCTCTCTGCAAGTAAAGCATCAGCGGAAGGAAACAGAACTGCTTATTTCATTATGGTTGAAAGAGAGAGAGAGTACCTGATCCATTAAAACAATACGGTACTCCTCGCATGCTCTGCTTATCCATCCTCCAGCTTCAGTTGGTCTTGGGCATTCAAAGCCTGGTCCACCTTGCAAATATAGTAGATATGGCAGAGATTGTTCCTCCTTACCAACTGCAGTTTACTTGATAATCAGTAGAGAAAATATATTAACCAATAACTGGTCCTAACAGAAAATAGCAGTTAGTTAATCAATGACTAGAAGTCAATTACTCCCCCCATTCTAGCTTACATGACATGTTCCAGAGTATGAGAGTCAAACTGCCTAATTTTTTGTATGAATTCGTACATAGAATCTTCAAGTTTTTTTGAAATAAAATTTAAATTTTAGGAAACTACATAAAGTACTCTAAGTCACAATAGTTAACAATTCAAAATATTTTTAATAAGTATTTTAAAAATTTGTGGTCGATGAAAAACTTCTATGACTCACCAAATAGTAAAGTAGTACACACTAAGATATCTGTGTGGCCAGAACTTCACTTACTTTTTCCCTACAACCATGTATCTAACTTTTGCAACCACCACTTTAGGACAGACAGGAAAAGCAAAGATGGACATGTAAACTTGTTAAATAGGAGTAGTAGTTAGATCAAGCTTCACGAAAAAATCAATGACTTCAAAGCTCTTCATTTGTCATTTCCATCACGGTAAGTTGTACAAACTAGCTAGTCCAATGATACTACCAAAGTGAATCAAATCTTTTGCCTTTAAACTATAACTATAATCCCAATTATATGTCAAACCATCCTAAGAGATGACCTATTTCCTCAGAAAACAAAATTCTACCCTACCGCACAATCTAAATCAACACCAAACACTGCCTAAAACAGAAATCACACAGATCAATACATAAGCGTGCTAAAGAGCAAAAGTTAACAGAACATATGTTGAACAAGTGTTTAGTTTTGAATCTACAGGCTTAAACTTATCTGGAAAACTTCTCCTACTACTTTACATATCAGTTAAGCTGAAATTTAGAGCTATTTTATAACACTGCCTAAAATACGAATCAAATATTATGAACACATAAGCACGATAATGTGCATAAGTAAACCGAACAAATGTAAATCCATCAATCAAACAACTATATCAGTATCTATTCAGAATTAGAATATATTTACAAGCAATCCTTATGCTTCATCCCGAGTATACATGGCGAAGTCCACTTAGATTAGTTAGATAGAGTTATCAAATGCAAAATCCATAATGATGAACAACGGGAACGAAATTAGAGTAATACCAGCAACTACTTCACGAGCGAAGACTGTGATTTTAGTAGAGGAACAGCGATCGATAGAGTAATCGAGAGGAACGGTGAATCGGTGATCGCGTAATCGGAGGTCGGGAACGGAGTACCAAGCGTCGGAGACGTGGTCAGAGGTAGAGTTGCCGTCGACGGCTGCCGTCTTGTTGTCGGCCATGGCGGTTAGTTTTTGGAGTGAAGTAGTAGCGGAGGAGTGCAAGTAGAGAAATTGTTTTCGAAGTGGAGATGGTGAAATAATGGGAGTCGAAAATGGGCTATGAAGACGAATGAGGGGTTTTATCAATGATGAGTGAAGTGCCCGCATTTTGACTTCCCTATAGTTAACTCGGTTCGTCAAGGTATCTACAAAAAAAAATATTTATGTTACGAACCATAACTTTCCTTGAAAGGATATGGTTTTTTTTTTTCATCACTATTTCATTTATAATTTGATTAAAAAAAACTACGTCTTGTTAAGTTTATATAAGTAAATCAGTTGTCCATCTCAGATTATTTTTTTTAATGCGAGACTTGTTTAAAATGTGCTCCCTCCCTTTTAATATATATATTTTAAAATAGACAAAAGAATAAATGGTAAGATAAACAAATTTCAATACTAAGCTAGCATTTGGCCATAAGTTTCCAGATATTTTTGACAAATATTATTTGGATAAAAATTTGAGTGAAATTTCACCATATGTTTGACCATAGTATTTGGGAAATATATTTCACCTTTTTAAGAAATATGATTTATACTCATAAGTTCTAAAAACTATCAAAACTAACCATAGGTTTGTATAACATACCACGTGACTTTGTTGCTCTAAGCCGATTGTTCATCATTTTCATCAATAACGATATCATTACTTTCATATTCACTGAATATTTCATCACTACTTTGATGTTTACGTAAAAAATTATATAAAACAACACAAACAACTACTATATGGAGTGTTCTTATAAAAAATAAAAGTTTGGTGTAGAATTTTAATTATTAAAAGTTCCCAAATAATGAGATTTGGTCCAAAATACTAGTTTTTTCTAGTATTTGGAAATTTGGGTTATTTTTCAAAAATATTTGCCAAATAATAACAAACTATATAGACAAACACTATTTGCCATATTTTTCCCCAAATTTTACTTGGGAAATCTATGGCCAAACGGGCCCTAAGTTCAATCTAGTTGAGTTTTATATTTCCTTCCATTTTTTCTTAAACTCAACAAAATAAAATATAAAATCCTGATAAAAATTCGTCCATTGTCGTTAAAATAAAATTTCATTTGGTAGAGAATAGACCCGCGCAAAATTTTATGACCTAAAACTATCCATCCGTACCGCTTCTTCTGAAAATCCGATAACTATGAAACTCGCAGCTGCAAGAAAATCCCTCCTTCATCTTCCCGCGCTGCCGAAAACCGGCAGAATTTCCGGCTTGAGACACTTCTCCGGCGAGATCGACGATACACAGAAACCTCTTCCGCCGCCGCCAACCTCATTTGCCGTTCCCGAAATAGTCTCCCTTCTCAAAACTACCGATCACAATGACTGGATTTCCAACTCGCAGCTGGTTGAATTTATTTATTCTCCTCCTTCCCCAACTTCCCTTCTCAAAATAACCCGCCAATTGGGGTCCACTGAAAAAGCTTTACAGTTTTTTGAATTCTTCAAGACTCATAGTTCGAGTTCATCATCAAACCCCTCTTCTCTTTCCTTCACATTTCAAGCTATTCTCGAACAAGCAATGCATGAAGAAAAATCTGACGTACCCGGTAAGCTATTTCAACTGTTTTCCTTTGCTAAAGACCGAAAAATCCCTTTATCGATCAATGCTGCGACTCTTCTTATGCGATGCTTTGGGCGAGCCAAAATGCTCGAGGAATCGATATCTGTGTACAATGAGCTAGACTCGGATTCAAGAAATACAAATGTGGTTAATTTGTTGTTGGATTGTTTGTTTCGTGGAGTGAATATTGATGATGGGTTCAAGGTGCTCGACGAAATGCTCAAAAGGGATAGTGATTTTCCTCCGAACAATAGTACGGTGGATATTGTTCTGGATGCTATGTGGAAGAGAAATTGGGTGGGGAGAAGGATGAGTGTGGAGGAAATTTGTGGACTTCTTGTGAGATTCTTCGAGCATGGTGTGTTCTTGGATGATGTGTGGTTTACTAAATTGATTACCAAGTTTTGTCGAAGTAGAAAGTGTGATAAGGCCTGGGACCTTTTGCATGATATGATGAAGTTGGGTGGTCAGGTGAAAGCCTCTTCATTCAATGCCCTTTTGAGTGGGTTAGGCCGGGAGCATGATTTTCAAAAGATGAATTTGCTTATGAATGAGATGAAGGAAAAGGAAGTTAACCCAGATGTTGTGACATTTGGGATTTTCATCAATCATTTATGCAAATGTTGCAGGGTCGATGAGGCACTTCAGGTGTTCGAGAAGATGGGAAGGAGTGAAACTGATGGTGTTCTTGTTAAGCCAGACGTTGTTCTCTACAATACATTGATTGATGGACTTTGCAAGGTCGGGAAACAAGAAGAAGGGTTAAAGTTGATGGAGAAGATGAGATTGGAGAATGGACATGTACCTAATACTATTACCTACAATTGCTTGATAGATGGTTTCTGCAAAGCAGGTGAGATTGAGAGGTCATTAGAGCTTTTTGACCAGATGAAAAAGGACAGGGTTGTGCCAAATGTCATAACTATGAATACTTTGCTCCATGGAATGTGTAAGTTCGGGAGAGTTAGCAGTGCTATGAGATTTTTTGCTGAGATGCAAGAGAAGGGTTTAAAGGGGAATGTGATCACGTACACCGTCCTCATTACCACTTTTTGTAGTGTCAACAATATTGACAGAGCAATGAGTTTGTTCAATGAAATGTCAGAAAATAGGTGTCTCCCTGATGCCAAAGTATACTACAGTTTGATCATGGGCCTTTGCCAGGCTCGAAGAACAGATGACGCCTCCTGTATTGCTTCAAAGGCGAAAGAAGCTGGGATTGGCTTGGATATTATCTGCTACAATGCTTTGATTGGGGCACTTTGCAGGAAAAATAAGATTGATGAAGCTCATAAGATGCTTAAAGATATGGAAGAGGCAGGTATCAAACCTGACTGTTACACCTACAACACTTTGATATCATATTTCAGCGAGAAGGGGCAATTTACAACTGCCAGTAGAATTATGAAGAGGATGATTGATGATGGTTTTTTGCCTAATGTTGTTACATATGGAGCATTAATTCATGCATATTGCTTAGCTGGAAATCTTGATGAAGCTATGAAAATATTCCAGAATTTGAGTTCGGCTATTAATGTGCCACCAAACACAGTCATATACAATATTTTGATTGACACTCTCTGCAAGAGTGACAAAGTAGAAGCTGCTATTTCTTTGTTGGGTGAAATGAAGGACAAAGGGGTAAGACCAAATACCAAAACATACAATGCCCTCTTTAAAGGTCTTCAGGAGAGGAATTGGGTGGAAAAGGCATTTGAAATAATGGACCAAATGACTGAAAATGCTTGTAATCCTGACTACATTACCATGGAAGTCCTCACTCCATGGCTTTCTGACATTGGTGAAACAGAAAAGTTGCGAAGTTTTGTGGAAGGATACGAGGTTTCTACTTCAACTGCCTAATACTAACTGGAACTGAAGATACTTTCCTAATTCTGCTGTGATGTTCACTGGGCATGTCGAGATTCTTTTGCAGTCAGTTGAGGTCTCATTTGGATAGTTTTCTCGACCTTTTGGCTAAGATCAAATGGAATGTGAGAGGTCTCATTTGGTCTTCAAGCTCTGTGCTGTCATTTGACATACCTGCATTGATGCATAAGTTGTTGTGTAGGTACACAAATCACGTTCTATGAAGACATCTCCATTCATTGCCCTTTGAATGAACTGATTATCATTTGGACACAACAAAATGGTGTCACAAATTTGGTGGTCGTGCTGATTTGTATTTTCAAATTTCATCCAAGTTGTAGCTGGTGTAATTGCTGCCTGAAGCACCTTATGTTCTTGGATAATGATTTTATTGATATCTAAATCAAGATAAAGTTGAAATAAAGTTTATATATGCTTATATTGTGCCAACTCTGTACTAAGCTTAATATTTTGGCTTTGAACGTATCTTAATGCTGTTCGTCTTTCCTATACTGATATTTGGTTATCTTGGTTTTCCTTCTGACATGGAGTGAAAATGTGTTTGTCTTTTGATCTCCGTGTATACAGAGTTCTGAAATCCGAATTTCTGATGGTCTTCTGTATGGAAGACCAGAAGCTATCAATACATTAGTGTTTGTTAGGAAGACTCATACATTAGTGTTCTTCGTGATTTGTATGAATTATGCCCATCTGTTGCTGCAGTTAGTTGTGTTTCTACTAAGTCCAAATTTTGGGTTTGATGAATAGTTGTGTATTTGACAAGTGAAAGGTATAACGATCAATGAAGTGGGATGAAAAAAAATGAAGATCAAAGTTGAAATCTCAAAAGAGTCAAAAAAAGAAAAGCCAAGTGATTCGTTCCCATCTAAGTTTTAGTTGCCAAGAGTTACTCGAATATGTGTTGGTATACTTGATGGAATAGTTGAGGCGTGCACAAGCTGACTAGCATAGGTCAAATGAAATTTTGCATCTTCTTAACTTGTTCCTTCTCTCTCTTTTTGTCCTTTTTGGGGGTTATTGTGGAGGTGCTGCTCTAACATGTTATTTATACTATTCCCCATATGCTAGAATGTATCTACTAGATTCCAATGTTCTTTTGGTGGGTGCTTCCCTTTTGAAAAGATACGTTTCGTCCTTTCATGCTCTTGTCCACTATGTTCTAGCTGTTGAGAGACTATAGAGACCAATTACCCAAAGTTATAACCTAAAGCTTTATGTCTAGTGAGATACGTGTTACGTTATGTTTTTAACTCTGAACTGTTTTTCATAATAATATGTTTTATTTATAGCCATAGAAGTCCCATTGTAGTACAATTTTCAACTCAGTAAATGTGGCAACGTTAGTTGATATCAAGTAAGTGCTTATTTTCAATTGGCTCGACTTCCTTACAAGTAAATCAAATTTAAACTGATCAAGTCAATTATTTCAACTTTAAGAAAAATAAAAGTCAAAAAGATGAATATCGATCCGATAAATTACCTAACTTTGCACATTAGAAAGTTGTAAACTCAGTTGAAAGAATTGAATAAATATTGAAAAAATAAACTTCAACCCTAGAATTTTCACTTTGAATAGACAGAAGTTCCATTAGAACACATCACATTCACTTTGTACAGAAAATAACGGGATATGAGTCTACATTCTACAATACCCGCATTTAGAGATGTCTAGGAGCTCTAGACAAAGATTTTTTTCTTTTTTCCCGGAGTAAAATTAAAAATATTACTATCTCCATTGACCATAAGATTAAAGGATATTATGATATTCAAAAGTTTTTTTTACTTATTAAACGTTACATCAAATCAAAACAGTACAATCAAATTAAAATGGAGGAAGTACTTAAATATATAGAGTGATTTGCTCTAATTCAAAAACTCATTTTCCAAATTTCAATCAAATTTATGTCCAAACACACCTACCTAATTCAATCGATAAGCAAAAATGGTGGTTGTTTGAGGTAAATTTGCCAGCAAATTTCTCAAGATTCTATTTGGTAGGACTCAAAATCACCAAACATAATTAGTAGCACAAACACTCAAAAACACACTAACATGAAACAAGCACCACAAAAGGTATTAAAAAGGTAACACTTGAAAAAACTTAAATCATTGATAATGATTACTAGTACTACAAATTAAAATTACAACATTTATCAACTAATGGAATTTTTTTACCTCTAATCTCTATGTACCTTATATAATCCAATATAATTAACCTACTAAACAAAGAACATTGGAATCTAACTCTTACTTTTTCCTTTTTCCTCTACTATGATTATGGAGAATGGAATTATACCTTACACGTACAAAAAGAGAACAAAAAATTAAAATTTATAAAAACAATTTAAAAAAAAGACATGGAGATTTCAAGATTCTCTCTTGCTTTCTATTTTCCTATATCTCTAACGGACAAAAAGATACTCCTACAACTGAAAAAGAACAGTGAAAAAGAAGAAAAGCATCAATTTCTTCAACTTTTTTTTCCGGCAAGTCAAACGCCGCCTGCGGCGGTGGTTGTGGCATTATTTGACATCCATGGAAGCTGCATAGACCCCGGAAGATTATCGGAAAAGCAATCTCCGGTGGCCTGAGCGGCGAGTTCATCTAATCCCTCAAAAAAATCATCATCTGCAGGTTCCATGTTATCTAATCCCATATTTGAACTACCAAATTCGTCATCGTCGTCTTCAAAAATGTCTTCTCTTTCATCCCTGCTGCTTTCTTGCTTCTCCGTCGCCGGTGAATGGCACGCCGGCGAAGATACCGGCGATGAGCTAGTGGGTTTGTTAGAGTCACTTACAGTACCAGCTTCGGAATTCGCCGGCTTCTGACGGGTACTGCCGGCGAGGGAATTCCGGTGAGTAGGCATAGGGTGATTGTGCTCTGCTGTGTAAGTGACAATGAACATATTCGGGTCGGATCTATTTCGCTCCACTTGTTTTCGGGCCAAACAACCCTTTGAGGTACTACACCTGTAATATCCCCTGTTTTAACCCAAAAGGAAGAAAACAGAGTATATCAGAAAAACTTTAATTACTAAAAAAAAAAGTAATTAAATTTGTTTAAGTTGTTTTAAACCAACTTTAAAATGTAATTAGAAGAGAAATTAAGGAATTTACCTTGGATATGGAGAGCCTTTGATGGGTTTTTGTCCATATTTTCTCCAAGACCACATGTCAGAAGATAAACCTTCAGCAGGTACTTGGCATACCTTCTTCAATTGATTTTTTCTGAGAAAAAATCATTAAAATGTGTGAAAATATAAAAATAAAAAAATTATAATATGGGTATATGTAAAAACTAACAAAGGTCTAATCTTTCCATCAAAAAACTTCAAAAAAAAAAATTAGTTAAAGTTACCTTCTTTTAGGTCTTGGGCTTTGAACATGTGAAGCACTAGTAGTTGTGGAACCATATACAGAGAGAGGAGACTGTTTGGGTTGTGTTAATCTTGTACTGTTTAGCTGATGAATATGTTGTTGTTTTAGTGTTTGTTGGGGTGATAGATCTTGTAGTCCTCCAAGAACAGAGAGAGGTGAAATGGGTATATTATTACTATTATTTTGAGGAGAAAGAGGTATTTGTTGTGATTTAGGGAAGAAAGGCTTGTAAAGATTATGCAACTCTTCTAAATCACTTATGGGGTTATCAAATCTTGGCACAAATGGATCTTGAAAACTAAAAAAGTTGCCATCTTGTCTTGGTTGGAAGCTGCTGCAACAAGAATTAGTGGTGGCTGTGGTGGTGGCAGGAGCAGTGGAACTAGCGGCGCAGCCTCTGACCACCGCATGTAGATCCCAATCCTCTTCCATTTTGTTAATTTCTCCTTTTTTGGCTATGACCTTGACTTTTTGGTTAGGGAGAGGAAATGCAGAGAGACAAAAGAAGGCGCTGACTTTTGGCTTCAGAGAGAGAGAGAGATGGAAAAGGGATCTGAGGAGAGGCATAAATGAGTGGAATACATTTATTATTTATAGAAAGAGATTGTGTGTGATTTGGCTGGTTTTCACTATATGTATGTTTAGAGAGAGAAGGTGGGGGACAACAAATATTTTTCATTTTTGATTTCTATTTGTAAACATTGGACCTTTTCTTTTATGAGTTAAATGAGTTTTACTTTTACCCATACTTAGTCCTCACATGTTCAAGATTTGAGTTGTCAAAAGGTGAAATTTATGTACTACCTATAATTTCAAAATTAGGGGTAAAGAGTGTATTAATAAAATTAATATATGCATTAACTTTGTATATTAGTAATATTTTGTTTAGTACATTTTTACTCTATTGTGTATTGATATAGGTATTATTAATATCATAAATTTTTAGGTATTAGACTATTAGTAATGTAAAGAGTTTTCATGCATGCAGTAACATGGTTAAAATCACATTATCCTCAAAAAATAATTTACATAATTGTAAAAGGTGTTTTTGTAAAAAAATATTTTAATATAAAGTATGTTATTTTTAATACATCAAATCAAACGATGCATAAAAAATAATATATATATATATATATATATAAAATTAGATGATACAAACATTACTAATATAGTTATTAATTGTACTAACAATAGTATTCTTGTAAATTGCATCAATTAATTACTCCATCAACCACCTTTATTTGTCTATGTTTTGACATAAACGTTTACTTGTTCAGTTGAAAAATTGAAAGAATACATTTCTCTTCCTTTTTTGGTGATGGGAGATAATATCTCCCTAAATGTCGCTATGATAAAGTTATTATTTTATGTATTATTTATTAATTTGTAAAAGACATGCTAAGTCAATAGTAAAAAAATAAAAGTGGACAGAAGAAGTATCTAGATAAAATTAAAATATTTGACTAAAATCAAAATTTATGAGAAACGGGAAAATAAAATGAATAACCTAAAATATTTCATAGATATATAAATAACCATAAATTATTTTATTAAAATAAAATAATTTTTTTAAAATTGATTATTTTTAACCAATGAGTTATGACACTTTTTTTTTAACAATCTAAAAAGGAAAGTACATACATAACTTGAAGGAGTATAATTTATGCAACATACCACAAATTCTAATTTTAATCATGAAAGTTTATTCAGTTGAACCCTTTTTACTTTTTACATTACTATGCAACAAAAAAGAAAAGTGGAGTAGAATTTTTCCAATAAGATGACAACAATGGTGTTTGCTTCATCTATTTCTCTTATTTAACTTTTTCATAGTCAAGCCATAAAATTTCATCCACCTTTCACATAGGATAAGCAAAGCATTTGCTAGCTAGCTAGCTAACATGTCAACAACTTAACAATTGTTTAATAAAAGTGCTAAGACTTGGTT